GACTTGAGCAATGGCAGATCCAAAGAAAGCTAGAAACCCCTCATCAGAGTAATCTAGGAAAAGAACAAGAGCAAAGACAGAGTTAATACTGGACCGGCTTGTCCTCGCTGGAGAGCTCTTCTTGAAAGAACAGCATGTACTACGAACTCTGACCTAGCCGTGCTGCTAATGGATAGGTGAGTGATAATGATTTCACCGAGGTTATTGTGTTTGATTGGGAATAAAGTTGTTATACAGTCCTGATAAAACTTTATTCAATGCTGAAATGCCACTTAATGTTTATTTGACCCGCGAGTCGGGAAACAGCTAAACACGCCTCTCATGCGTGACAGACATTGGACTTTATGACAGTGGTGTTACGCAGAAAGCCTGGAGAGGGCGACAGAGAGCATAGATCCACAAAGTTCAGGAGTGTGTCTTTAAGGCTAATGCTCCAGGGCTTAATGCAAAACTAATGCAGCAGCATCAATTTGCATCTGGTGCAAAAATCTTTTGCTTCAACAAACAGCAGAGTCACCGATCAAAGCACAGCAGTTTTACCACTGAAGAGAGCAAGATTCAACACCAAACACCCCCATCTGCCTCCTTCCTTCTTTGGGGCGGCGGGTCTTTGATCAGACGCTGAAGCTATAAACGGTACCAGCTGGCCTTTCACTCCACATGAAGAGGTCAGCCGAGCCGGGGGCTTTTTCAGGAGCAGTAATTCTACTCCTGGCAGCCGGTGGCATCCGCAGCCGACATCTGGGAGAAGTCGTCCATTTCAGAAGCGCTCGGATTCAGCCTAAAGCCAAGCCTTCTCTCTCTCACCCACACACACTCACACACACACACAAAGGTTGTTTCTGTGTGCCAGGGGCAGCGCTCCATCCATTACAGAGAACATGAAACACAGGCTATTCCCTGGATGATTTTTTAGAGGCTGGCTTCTAAAGTTTTGGTTGAGTTTTTTATCCGGACAGCACAAACACAGAGCTGTGAGTCTGGTGCAGGACAACTGTTTCTCACCAGAAGACACAGACTTTAGCTCTAAAACTGGCTGAATCCACTTCCCTCCTCACGCACAGCTGCAAAGCAAGATTTATATCTGACTAAATGTATTCATTCACTGGTCTGTTGGTTCAGCACCGTATTTTAGTTTTTAACTGCTTATTACTGATCCCTCTACAGAGATGAGAGAAGGTTGTTGTTTTGCAAAGTACTGAACAATGTGTCTGCAGGCAGACATGACCTTTCTGGACACATTTTACCCAGAGTGTGCAGCTCTGCAAATCCCTCAAACATCAGGGTTTAAATGGCTTAAAGGGAGTATAACAGCTATGTGGAGCCTAAGCCACACCCATCTACTTCCGATTAATGGGTCCCCTACTGTCAAAAAATGACTGGGGTAAAAGTTATTTTCGGATACTCTTTGGCATGTTCCGTGGATTTAACGCATGCTGTTTGTAAAGGTTAAAGACACGTGCTGATGACAAGAAAACGCTGATTTTCTACAGGTGGCAAAAGTTACTTTAGACTTTGTGTGAAAACCAGATTGATGTCATCAAACCAGACATAAAAAGGAAAAATGTCAGAGTTTAGCGAGCTGCACATCCTAGTTCCAGGGCCACAGAAGAAGTATTAAACATGGAGAAAACCACAATAATCCTACGCTGGGGGAGGGGAGAGGCTGCTGTCATGTCATATGTGACACATCTGACCTGTAGTCTTTTTAATTATGAATTTTTACAAGCTAATGAATCTCAAGGTTCATGACAGACATAGTCAAAACACACAGAATCATTTATCATTTAAACTGAAGTACCACGTGGTTGTGATTCAGGGCAAAAGGCAGAGAGGACCAGAAAATGACCTTTATAGCCCCGTTCAGGGAGCCATGTGTCGACCGGAGGGGGAGAAGCCTTAGGATCCCGATAATCAGTCTTACTTCATTCATTCTATAACAACCTCACAGTAATAAAGAAATAAAACAGGCCCTCACCACCTGTAGGTCTTCCACCAGGGGGCAGCAGACATGTTTGGGACTGGATATGTCAGGTTTCTAATGAAGGTACTAATCCTGATGCTAAATATGCTCATTAACATGGATTATCCATTTACTGCAGTTCAGTCTCTCAATAAGTTCAGTTGAAATAATACCGTAAATCCTCTAATACAGGCCCGGGCCTGTATTTGACTCAAGCTAATCAAGCTCCAGGTCTTTATTGGAAGGAGGGCCAGTATTAGAGGCAGGCCTCTATTTCTATTTGAGCAAAATGAACTAATGGTTCGTTGGAGTTTTTGACAATTAAAATTGCGCCCACATTTTCAAAGTTAAACACATTTCTTTTAACAACGGTAGTTTCTGCTTCAGCCCTCTCCCCCCTCCCCCTGCGCAGCGGCCGCAAACTCACTGATGCGCCTGCAGCCTCTCGGAGTTCCTGCTGCTCTAAACATTAAAATAATTATTTCATTTTCTGTTCCTCACTTCTGATTACCTTCAATGGTGTCTGTTTGTTGCAACCACCAGGTACAAAAACTAACTTGTTTTTATTTGACTATTTTTCTGTCCTGTCTGTTTATTATCTTCCTGCATCTCCTCTCAATCCTAAAGAAAAACTGCTACCTGGGTTCATATATATTCACCTTATGAGTTACCTTTGAACTGCAGTTCTAAAAGATCTACCGACCGCAAAACAGCGGAGTGCTCGCTGCTCGCCAGCCGCATCAGTGATCAGTGCGTCACCGGATGACAAGTTGATGCGCCCCGCTCCACAGCAAAACGCATCAGGCGCAAATAAAAGACAGAAAACATCAAAGGAAATGAACCGACATGAACGATCGCGTGTTAAATAATTTGGCAACACCTGATTGTTACTGTGGCCGTGCTCAGGAGGCAGATTACCGACCGCAAAAACAGCGGAGAGCTCCCTGCTAGGCGGCCGCATCAGTGATCAGTGCGTCGGAGGACAAGGTGAAGTGCCCCGCTCCACAGCAGCGAAACACATCAGGTGCAAATAAAAGACAGAAAACATTAAAGGAAATGAACCGACATGAACGATCGCGTGTCAGTACCGACGCTCTGGCAGAGCGCGTTGCCCCCCCCCCCCCCCCCCCCCCGAGCGCAGGAGCTTGTCACCTGCTGACAGCAGGCTGCTGTCTTTTCCGAGGGCTGCATCTTGCCGGTCATTATCACGTGACAGCGACTAGTCGACGACAGGCATAAAAAGTCACTATAGTGAAGTCGACTAGTTCATACAACCCCTATTGCTCCCCAGTGTTCTGCAGCGCATGGTCTCTTTGAACTTGATATCAAATTTTCGCCTCCACTTCGTCTCCGCACGGTTAAAGTTACCCTCGCGGTCTATCACTCGCAAATCAAAAGTGAGACGATGACACAACCGCCCCCCGTACTTGCTTGTTACCACATTCCACCCGGCCACAATAAGAGGCCGGCCATTATTCACCTCCGCCGACTCCGACACCGGCCAAAATTGGAGACCCGGCCTTTAATTGAATACCGGCCTGTATTGGAGGATTTACGGTAATAATAATAATAAACCACAAAACTGGAAAAGCAGAAATTAGCTAAAGGATATCAACAATTAGATTATTGTTTAGGGATGCTAATTAGCATCCAAATGAAATAAATGATAATTCATACAAAAGGTTTTTTTATACAAAATATTTATGCTGCTATGTCTAAGTGTGTGTGTGTGTGTGTGTGTGTGTGTGTGTGTGTGTTTGTGCTTGTCTTTATAAGCATAAGTGGACAAATTTAACTTTAACCTGTAGAGTGTGGACATTTCCACATTGTGGGGACATCTGGCTGGTCCACACGATGACAAAATACCCTAAAACGTGGTTCCAGAGGTTTGGTGTGAATTAACTTTTGTTTAGAATAGGATTAGAAATAGAACAGCACTGGTTATGGTCATGGTTAGAGTATGGGCTAGGCATAATACAGTCACAAAAATGAATGGAAGTCAATGGAAGGTTTACACAAGGATACAGTGTGTGTGTGTGTGTGTGTGTGTGTGTGTGTGTGTGTTTTCAGTACAAACTCCTCTCAGTGAGAGAATAAGTCCACGTGACATCTCTACTGGACATTGCACGCTTGTTCTCCCCATAATGGAACCATTGACCCACCACCCCACCCCCACCCGCCCAGCACCCCATCACCTGTTGTGTGTGTGTGTGTGTGTGTGTGTGTGTGTGTGGGGGGGGGGGGGGGGCTAACTGTACCTGGCCAGCTGTGTCATAGAGTCCCAGCAGGTACTGCTTCCCTCCCACGATCACGCTCACTGCAGGGGGAGAGAGAGAGAGAGAGAGAGAGTGTGTGTGTGTGTGTGGGTGGGGGGTCCTCCTTGGAGGGAGGGGCTGGGTGGGTGGAGCCCCCCCCGGTTGTAATGAAGGAGGCAAACAAGTGGTTCTGATGTCAGGAGCATCGGAGTTGGTGGTCACCTGGGCCTCATTAGACCAGAACCCATCCGAGCCCAGCGGAACCGGCCCTACCTGCGTAATGGTCAAACACCGTGGGAACGTACTCCTCCGGAAAGGCGTCGTTGGCGTAGCTCATCAGCAGACACGTTTTACCAACCGCACCGTCTCCCACCACGACGCATTTTAACATGATGGTACCGGTTCCGTTAGCCATAATGTCCTCAACCGGACCAGCACCATCCTCTGCACCCCGACAGGCTGTGGTTCCGAGCCGCTCCTCCTGCTGCTGGGTGGAGATCCCTGCTCGGTGGGCATCACCAGCCCCGGAGGCGCACCGAGTCGGTCTGGATCAGCATCTCTCTTCCGGTTACGGGTCCAGTCCGGTTCAATAGTAACTCCCCACCGGATTCATAACCGAACTGCTTCAGTGGTTCCGGTGTCAGTGTAGTGTGTCCGGTACTGGCTCCCCGCCCGGTGGGTTCTGCGCCCCAGCTCCGCGTCGATCCCCGGTGGACTGCGCGCTGTCGCGGTGTGAGCTCGGTGGAGGGGCGTGGCTAACAGGCTCCAGAAGCCCGCCTCCGCCGCCTGGTGGGAATGCCCTGCAGTAACGGCATCATCTGGATTATAATCCGTTGGAAAACAATGAAGATCAGAGCGATGGTTAATTAAAGATCACTCACAATCTCAAACATCTGATCCTTTTAGATGATAATTAGTCAGTTCACACCTGGCTCAGGTGGTCACACACATGAGAAACACCATAAAACTCATGGAATAAATCTAAACAACCCCAATGGCTAAACTTTGTGTGTGACGTCACGGCACGCCAGGTGTTCTGCATCAGTCCCACATCCGTGTGTGTTAGCTCCTGGCTAACATCTAGCGTTGAGCCACTTTTAGCTCATAAAACACATTTTATAATTAAACACGTTTTTCCATATTTAGAATTCTAACGTTTGTTTTTGCTCCCCATAACAAGGAAAACTCTTAATTTAATTTTTATTCTTATTTTATTGTTTTTATTGACACGAGAGACTGAATCTTAAAGCCACACGATGTAACTTGTTCTTATTTTTAAATAATTTTCTTGAGTCATTATGTTCCAAAATGACCCTTCACAGGATTAATGACATGTCACTCACCCTCATCCACCCAGTTTGGCTGCAGACCCTTCTCAGGCGCCACCTGAAGCAGATGGAGATGACATACCCGGCGCTGTATTCTGCTTCCAGCATGTTTCCTGCATTCCATTAGATCATGAACACAGCTGATGTATTTGATTTAGTGATGAACCAGCCTTGTAGACACTATAGAAGGCGCTATTAGATTAAGGTGTTAAAAAGACTAAAGCACAGCGAGGAGTTTCACTTTTGGTTTTAATACACGGCCACTAGAGGGTGCTAAAAGCAAGCAAAGCTGCGAAGTGTGCCTTTAAAATATGACGTGTTAAATGTTTAAACACAATTTAAAATAAGTGCAATCAGGTATGAAAACATACAGGTGTGTGGAAACCCAAGAGGCAGGGGTCACAGGTGCAAAGCATCATGGGACTGTTCTTTGTGTTCATGGGCAGCGTTTAGCGGCTAATGTAGCAATGTCATGTTGATCAGCTGGAATTACTGTTCATGATTGCATTTGCCTGAGGGTATTTGTGGGTGTGTCCATCTGTTTACATATAGGGGCGTGGCTTTAAACATGCAGTTAGTTTAAGGTCAAAGGTCATAGACAACAGTTATTACCTGTGGCCCTTTGAGCAGTCAGATATTGGCAGAAAGTGACATCATCATGATGTTTGTGTTTATCTGAGCTGCTCTGGCGTAGTAAGTATATTTTATTTATATGGCGCTTATCACAGACAAAGAATGAAGTTAAAGTCCCATTAGCTGTCACACACACTGACAGGCGCGTTGCAAGCTTTTCAAAAGTGTGGGGGATGTTGTCTGCGCCTAAAATAATTTCATGTTATTCATCTTGTTAGTTTAATTTCCATAATAGCGGAGCAGGTGCGAATTTTAGACGTGTCACGCAAGTCTCTGTTTTAAACATGTTTAAACTGTTCAGAATATAAATCCAGGCTCTGTCTCGATAGATGGGTGTAACTAAAGTTTGTACTGAATGAAACTTTACATTAAACCATGTTGAAAAGAAAAGGATCCGATTAAATCGTTCCCCCCTCATTTGTCCACAGTGACTCACATGGGGACGTAACAGAGAGCCAATCAATGAGAAGAACACTGGTCAGCACAATCTGTAAATTTGTTGAGATTCCTGCAGGACTGAAGAAATGTGCAGATGATGTATGTTTTTTCTACTGGTGTGTGTGTGTGTGTGGTTGGGTTGGTGTGTGTGTGTGTGGTTGGGTTGGTGTGCGTGTGTGTGTGTGTGTGGTTGGGTTGGTGTGCGTGTGTGTGTGTGCGTGTGTTTGTTTGTGTGTGTGTGGTTGGGTTGGTGTGCGTGCGTGTGTGTGTGTGTGTGTGTGGTTGGGTTGGTGTGCGTGTGTGTGTGCGTGTGTTTGTTTGTTTGTGTGTGTGTGTGTGTGTGGTTGGGTTGGTGTGCGTGTGTGTGTGTTTGTACAAGCAGGTCATGGATGAGTTATGCGAGATGGGACCAGATCTGCAGATGCCACAGTCAGGAGGAAGTTTGTGAAAGATCAAGAGGGGTGTAGACGCCCAAGCCTGTCCTTTTACTCAGTAGAATAAAAAGACGCATTATTTTTTTATCTCAATTTCATGCTCCTCTGGGTATTTTATTCAGAAAAAGTCTCACCAGGGAGTCTGAGAAACACACCTGGAACAAGAAGAACTGGTTTTAACCCAGCTGAAACAAATTGGTCTGCAGAGGCAGAAGGTCAAAAGGGGGTCAAGGGTTAGGGTTTACGTAAACCAACCAGATGGTGTTTAGCCGAGTCAGCGCTGACAGGTAGTTTGGGCTAGATTATCTGGTAGTGTAACAGTGATTTATCAGCTGTTTGGTAAAAGAACCAACAAAGTGAGTGTCACAGCCTGAATTTGTACAGAACTGATCTTCAAGATCTTTTCCGTGGTTCCAGGTGGGAATCAGCCTCTCTCCTCTTTCTACTGCTTTACTGGTTGAACCATAACTGCATTTAAATCTACAAAACATCACATTTTTGTAGAAGTTTAAAACTGGAGCACGAATAATAATCTGAATTGTCCATGTTTACATATCAGACCCAAAAGATGCTCTGAGGTTCCACTGCAGACAGAAGGATCAGCATCTTCTCAGGGTTCTCCGTGGGACAACAGAACATTTGTCTTTATCACATTTATCACAGTTTTGTAACTTTGTGACTGTTGGTCTGGGAAAAAGAGAAGTGAGGTATGTGGTTTGATTTTACCAGCAGATCAAAATCCTTAAAGACCAAGTTCACTGAGAAACTGTTCCTTTGAAATATGAAATAATGAACTCACTTCATTCAGTTCAGCACATTTATCTCCACCACTTCTAAAGTAGAATCTGGTGTTCCCCAAGGATCAGTTGTCGGCCCACTTCTGTTTATAATCTGCTCCCTTTGGGTTCAGTCTTCCTCAAATTCAACATCACTCTTCACTTTTACGCTGATGACACTCAACTATATATTTCAACTGCACCATCAACAATTTTGCCACCATCCTCACTCACTGAATGTCTTACAGAAATTAAGTCATGGTTTTCATCCAACTTCCTGAAACTGAACCCCGATAAAACGGAAGTGCTTCTCATGGGCACTAAATCAGCATTAGCGAAGGCCACAAAGTTCACCATAGCAATAGAAAACTCTACTGTCACCTGCTTAGACCAGATTAAGAGCCTTGGGGTTATTTTGGACAGCACCTGTCTTACCAGTCTCATATCAGTTCTGTTATTTGTTCAGCTTACCCGCTCAACCGCTTTCGTCCATCTCTGTCTAATCACTCAACAGCAATTTTAGTAAGCAGTCTGGTCACTTCACGTCTTGATTACTGTAACTCTCCTTTTTGGCTTGTCACAGAAATCTCTACATAAACTTCTACTGGTCCAAAACTCTGCTGCTCGCATCATCACCAGAACACCCTCCTCTGATCACATCACCCCCATTATCTAGCAACTTTATTGGCTACCAATAAAATTCAGGATTAACTACAAAATAGTACTACTTACATTCAAGGCCATTCACAACCTTGCCCCCTCTCAGAGCTCTTACAAGTATCTACACCCTCCCGCTTGCTCAGATCATCAGCTTCCATCAATCTGCACAATCCCTCTGTTCATCTTGTCACCACTGTAAGTCGCGCGTTCAGCAGCTCTGCCCCCTACCTGTGGAATTCATTACATGCTGATCTCAGAATTACAACTACCCAGCAACACTTCAAGGCCAAACTCAAAACTCACCTGTTCAAGATTGCATATTCCCTATAACTGTATTTTAAGTTCTTTATCATGGTTTAAAATGGACTAGTTTTTTTTTTGTCCTTGTTGGAATGTTTTTTTCTTTTTATTGTACAGTGACCTTAATTTTTTTTGAAAGGCACTTCAAATAAAATTTATTATTATGTGAGGGTTTACAATGTGAGATTTGGGGTTAAATTATGATCAATAAGGTGTGATGATTCTATATAAATATAGGATATCGCTCTGGTTGATCTTTGAATGTTTAACCTGAAGAATTTAGGATTCTTTGCTTATTTAAGGGAGCATAACACACCGTATTAATTCAGAGTCAAGGATATAATTAAAAATAAACTTTATTTTCTAGACTAATTATAAAACATGACAAGCTATGACTAACATTTATGTGAAGGAATGGTGATGTGTAAAGTAGTGATGTGTGAGGGTGGAATGTGGTGATGTATGATCAGAACCTTTGTATCTGAAAGACGTTGTGAATTCTGGATGTAGAGAATTTTGTGGTCTGCTATAAACTAGACGTTGATTATTAATAAAACGGCATCAGACACCAGTTTGCAGGTCTACCATACCCTTGTATGAGTTGTTCCCGGCGGTCCGGAGGGTTGCGATCAGAGTGGTGAGGTCACCGGACGTCGAGACCACAGAGATTAGTAGCTTACTCTGAGTTCAAGCATCCCCGGCCATGAGGTGCAACCCGGGTCTGCAGATTAGATGTCCAAGATGGATGTCTGAGAGTTGCAGTAGCTCAGAACCAGAGCGCATGCGGGAAGGTTCCTCCCACTGAAGCGAGTGTTTTCCAAACCCTGTCTCTCAGAGAGACTTGTCACTTAGAAAATGTTCCCTGATTATGAAACTTTGGCTGAATAGCGCTTGTTCCTGTCTCCAATGTGGCGACGCATCCAGGAGCCGTCTGAGGAGAAGCCCAGAATCTCACATCCTGTTCAGCTCAGAAACCGCATATGATTACGCACAAGCGTGACCCGTCAACACAGTCTCACAGTAAGACCGGGTTGGACCTGTTCAGGTTTACGCAGACAATCTTTACATAGAATTGACTTACAGATATAAAATTAATTCAGTAAAATACAAAGCAGTTTATTTAAATATCCATTCATTATTTTACAAGCACAGAGAGCCGCATCAGATTCAGATCAG